TGAGGGCTTTATGGGTATGACAGTCTGTTTATTATTGTGCCAGACAGAGTAACTGTCAGGAGAGCAAAACAGCATCCATGACTTGTCATTGCCTCCAAGCAGACACTCAGCACTGTTTCCTTTCCTCCCGATTCCTTTATAAGTCACTCCTATCCGGGCTCCATCTCCACTCTGCTCAGCCTCCCAGTAACAGCGACCAGTCAGACTCTCTCTGCACAGAACTTGGCTCCAGTAGTCAAATCGCTCTGGATGATCAGGATATCGCTGCTTTGCCCCCCGTGTTGCTTTCCTGTTCCCCTCTGACGGAGACAGGTCTCTGTATGCTGTTTTGGGGTCCAGCGTCAGGTGGCAGGAGTCTGTAGGCAGGAGAAAGAGCGATTAATCCCATCACGAAGCCCAGCATCTCCATCATTATCACTGTCACACCTCACACACTCACTAACACAGAACTCGCTCCAATACACACATTTTATTCCCAATATACTCATGTAGCCGCCCGAGTCTGCGACGCTCCGGCTGCCCCCTGCGCTGTGAGACACGCCGCGCTGAGAGACTCACTGGGGAATAATTACTTTATCCTGCACTGTTATTCTGTACGATATATAAAATATAAAAACGAAGCAGGAATTCGAGTATGTGAAATATCTCAGGAAATGTCGGATGCCCGCGCGACGCCGGCAGGAATACACACCGAAATACTGCGCGTGCTAAACTAATAGGCTTAATTATAGGTAAATAAAATTACAAACAGCATTCATCAAACATACTAACCATAAAATTATACGACAAAGATTACCACTAAAAGTAAGTTTGTCTTTACGTCACTATATGAACTTCTTTCAAACCACTTTGGACACACACCTCTGTCCAGCAGCGAGCCGACGCGATGCTCCCAACGCGGACGCGGACGCATCTAGGCTGGTTCTCCGCAAAGCGCAACACTCGCGTATCTACACCGCGCATGCGTACACGGAAACGTTCATAGTTCTCCGGTCAAGCTGTGTACTTTGCACACGCGCACGTGTCCTATTTAAGTATTATTATTATTATTAGTAAATTATTAGTCTGATATTCCCTGCACACGTACCACAGCAGTGATGTCTGTGTATATTTCCCTACGTTTTACAAATTGAAAGCACCAGTTCACAAGGCTGCCAACTTTGATCAACTGGCTGGCATGAGATTTTCAATTCGGAACAAGGCTGCACACACATGCATACACATTTATATGCACGTAACAGTTTTATTACCTTGTAAATTGGCTGCAGAGTTTTGCAAACTACCATGCTTCGTCTGTGCATCTACATGAGGTTAACGCGACGCATGCGCAAGATGCAGTACCACCAGAAATTGGGGTGGCAGTATGGTCACGTTTTGTCACGGGACATTGTCTTTACATACGGTACAGATAGTATTAAAGTAGCATCTGATTTTTTTAAGAATTAGTGGTCAGAAGAACTGTATATTTTCAGAGGAAAAAAGAAAATATTACAAACACTATTGTGTCCTTCTGTGTACAGCGGCTTCAAAATTTAATGGCAGTATAAGTTTATAAGAAAGCAGTGTCATGTATACAAAGTACAATGGAATTTTCACTTAAAATTCTTACTTGCCTACTTTCATAAGTAGCGTTATTTTTCAATACAGTTCCATCCATCCATCCATCCATTTTGTGCCACTTATCTAACCTAATATATATATATATATATATAACATATAATCTATATATAATGTAGTATATATTATATATAATCTCCCAGGGTATACAGTATATAATATATAATCTCCCAGGGTATATATAATATATAATCTCTCAGGGTATATATAATATATAATCTCTGGGTCTGCCCCGGCACCTCCTCCCAGTTGGACATGCCCTGAAACACCTCCCCAGGGAGCCGTCCAGAAGGCATCCTAGATAGATGTCCAAACCATCAGCTGACTCCTTTCTCTGCGGAGGAGCAGCGGCTCTACTTTGAGCCCCAATGTCTGAGCTCCTCTCCCTCTCTCTAAGGCTGAGCCCAGACACTCTGCTGAGGAAACTCATTTCTGCTGCTTGTATCACAATCTCATTTTCTCTGTCATTACCCAGAGCTCAGGACCATATAGGTGAGGGTAGGAACGTAGATCAACTGGTAAATCGAAAGCTTCGCCTTCCAGCTCAGTTCCCTCTTTGGCCAAGTTGCTGCACCATGAACAAAGACCCCAAGATCAAAGTTACAGTCAAAGTGAACTTCATTGTCATCTCCACCATATATAAGTATACAGAGAGACGAAATGGTGAAGCTCAGGGACCACAGCGTAACATAAACATAGCAATATAACAAACAAGACAAGACAATGTGCAAAGGACATACGGGATAGTGCAGTTTAGGAAGAGGAATACATTGTGCAATATACAGTAATGTGTAATATTGTTAGAACTATATTAAATATATTATATTTTTATTTAATTAGTTAGACCTGAATTCACCATCATGTACACTGTAACAGCCTAAGTTCACAGTGTAAAACAGTGTATGATAATAGTAGTAATAACAGTAACACGTCTAAAATTTCTAACAGCCGAAAGTAGGAATAGAAGCAGAATAATGGAGCAGACAGAGAATAATGGGGATTCTTCTTATCGCCCCCATGTCAGAGTGACAAAGTGTTAAGTGCAGTGCAGCGCTTAAGGGTCGGTCTGTGGCTTTTAGTTGTGGGTTAAGGGGGGGTTCAGGCAGTGATGAGGCAGTGATGGGGCAGAGTGAGGGATCCTGGGGGGGCAGCATGGTGTTGAGGAGCCTGACAGCCTGGGGGTAAAAACTGCCACGCAGCCTGGCAGACCCGGCTCTGATGCTGCAGTATCTTCTCTCAGATGGCTGGAGTGTGAAATGACCGTGTGAGGGTGGATGCCTGCTGGATGCCTGTTAAGGGCTTCCTTCCTGACGCCCCAGCCTGCTGCTGGATGCCTGTTAAGGGCTTCCTTCCTGACGCCCCAGCCTGCTGCTGGATGCCTGTTAAGGGCTTCCTTCCTGACGCCCCAGCCTGCTGCTGGATGCCTGTTAAGGGCTTCCTTCCTGACGCCCCAGCCTGCTGCTGGATGCCTGTTAAGGGCTTCCTTCCTGACGCCCCAGCCTGCTGCTGGATGCCTGTTAAGGGCTTCCTTCCTGACGCCCCAGCCTGCTGCTGGATGCCTGTTAAGGGCTTCCTTCCTGACGCCCCAGCCTGCTGCTGGATGCCTGTTAAGGGCTTCCTTCCTGACGCCCCAGCCTGCTGTGCCAGCAGTTTGGCTCGCGATGGTCGTCAGAAAATTTCTGAACTAGAATAGCGTCTATCTCAGTTAGAAAGTGCGCGCTCTGCAGTGTGTGACCAGGATCATGAGATCCTCATTACAAGTGTAAGAGCTGAGCTGAATTCTCTTCTATCTCACCGCGCAGAGTTTATGGTTCATCGCAGCAGGTCACGCTATTATGTTTCTGGTGCCAGACCCAGTAAACTATTGGCTCTTAGGCTTAGACAGTGTGACTCATTCTCCGTGACATCTTCAGTTAAAACTAAGGATGGGATCGTCACCACTAACCCCCTGGAAACCAAAAAATCCTTTTTTCAGTTTTATTCTGATTGATTCTCTTCACCTCCTGTCTCCCCATCCTCTGATCCCAATTCCTTCCCTGATTCCTTACCCCTCCCCCAGCTCTCGGGTCCAGACGCCTCCATGCTTGATGCTCCTCTTTCAGTCATGGAACTTAAAGAGGTTCTGGACTCCATGAGCTCAGGGAAATCTCCAGGACCCGATGGTCTCCCTCCTGAACTCCTCTCTGCCTTCTGGAAACAGTTTTCTACTCCGCTTTTCCACATGCTGGATTCTGCTCTCTCTGTTTCCCATCTTCATCCTTCTCTTAATTCATCCTTGATGACTTTACTCCTTAAACAAGGCAAAGACCCCACAGACTGTTCCAGCTACGGCCCCTTTTCCCTGATGAATCCCGATGTTAAGCTGCTCGCTAAGGTACTTGCTCGTCGCTGCAGGTGGTGATTTCTAAATTGATTCACCCGACCAAACTGGCATTATTAAGTCCCGCCATGCTGCCGACAACATGAGCCGCCTGCTGCATGTACTTCACGCCGCCCCCCCCTTTCCCTTCCCTGCTGCATGTACTTCATGCTGCCCCCCCCTCCTGACTAATGCCTGGCACCTCTCCTCCTCTTTGACTTTCTCGAGGTGCCAGGCAGGGTTGTCCCTTATCGCTCTTACTCTTTAATCCCTCATTAGAGCCCCCAGCTGCAGTCCTCCGTCATTCCGATCTTTTGAAGGTGTCCCTTTTGAAGGTGTCCCTCAAAAAATCTCCTTATACAGTATGCTGATCTACCCCTGGTCCCGGAGCTTACAGCTGCTGGTTTCCGCCATGTTCTGGAGGGTATTAAAATCTCAATCTTCTCATGATCTTCTCTTTCTCTTTCATTCCAGGTGAGACTGGCCATTATTAAAATGAACGTCCTCCTGAGGATTAATTTTGTTAGTTCCTTACTTCCACTTCCTCCTCCACCTAGATACTGGGCCTCCGTTAAGTCTGTAGTTTCTGCATTTCTTTGGGATGGTAAGAGACCTTCTATTAAACATTCCACTCTGATCTGTGACCGGTTAGATGGGGGTGTCGCCCTCCCACATTTTGAACTGCACCACCATGCTTTCACCCTAAGGGAGTTGGATCAATCCTCCCCAGCATCCCCCTGTCTGGCTCCTCATCAAAGCAGGATGTCATTCCCCACTGTCTAACCTCTCTCCCTTTCTTACCCATTAAATTAAAATCTCTCTCGGCCTCTGTTGGTCCAGTTATTTCCCATGCCCTTCGTACATGGAGGAGGGTTGAGCGATTGCTGGGCCCCTTCCCGAAGTGACACCCCCGCACTCTGCTGTTCCACAACCCTGTCCTGAACATTGGAGGCCCCATCTCCAGCTCATCATGGTCATCATCAGGCATTTCTACTCTGGGTGATATTTTTAACAGCTCGGGTCTCAAATCGTTTCAGTCTCTTGTGTCCATGTTTAACCTTCATTCCTCTTTGTATTCTTTTTTACCTCCAGCTGAGGTCTGTGCTTATGGCTTGTAGTCTCTCTTCCTCTCCTCTTCCTCCTCATCCGCTCTGCACATTTGCTTCGACTCTCTCTACTCTTTAGAGCGTCAATGTGCAGCTAGTCAAGGGCTGGCTGGGGGTGACTCTGCATTATTTATCTATTTATTTACTCATCCACCTATCTACTTATCTATTTAAATTAAATTATCTGACTCTGTTTCCACTTGTGTTTGTGTGTGTGTGTGTGTGTGTTTTCTTTTCTCTTACATGCTGTCTCAGGAACAGGATTGATTTAAAAATATTATTACTTGTCTACAAGGCACTAAATGGCACTAATTTCCTTGAACGTTGTGAAGCATCCAGACCCCTGAGGGCATCTGGGAAAGGTTTACTCAGTGTCCCAGAATGAAGACCAAGCAGGGTGAAGCAGCTTTTAAGTCTCTATGCTCCCTGTCTGTGGAACAAGCTTCCTGAAGACCTGAGGTCTGCTAACACTGTCAGCTCATTACAATCAGGGCTTAAAACGTTACTGTTTGCTACAGCTTTTCAATTTTCAGTTAAATTAAGCAGGAGTTTAGTCATACACTGCCTCTACAGTGTAACTTCTTTTTAGTTAACTGTTTATTTGTTTTTTGGGCTTTTAGTCTTTTTAAAATTGTATTTTAAATCGACAATGAATGCGTTTGCAAGTCCCACCCCAAAGTTCCAAGGTACCATAAAAGAAAGGGTACTTTGTGTACTGGAACTTTTGGTACTGGTACTCGACCGGAAGTCAATGGAAAAGGGAAAGTACCAAAAGTACCGAACCTGGTGCAGTGGAAAAACACCCTGAATAAACTTGCCTTGCTTTGCAACTGGATTCAAAGGCTACTGACATAAACAGCTCATGTAAATGTGAAAGGCCAGGAGGCAGCAGGAGAGAGAAAGAGAAGCTCCCCTAGCAGAAGAAAACGAAACACAATAAAACACACTCCACCTCATATTGGGAGAGAGAAGCGTGTGTGTGAACAGACTCACATTGTAAGAATCCTGCTTTGGTCCTGGGCACTAATTTTGGTAGGATGGTGTCTTTGGTAACTAGAAGGAGACAGAGAGAAACGGGGACGTGAGTAAAAGGAATTGACTTGTGGGAGATGGACTCACTGTGGAGACACCAGCAGTAGATTATTATCATTATGAGGGACAATAATAGACATTTTAACAAGTTGCAAATCATGGTAAGTTACACACAATACAGTTTTTTGGATTCTGTAATGTAGAAGAAAGATGAATCGTGATCTGGATTTGGCAGCCTGTCGAATTTAGAGCTCACTAGCTTTCATAAATATTTAGTCTTGTTGGAAAGAAAAACTGACTTCGTCACACGAACGTGAGGCTGACTGTACTGCATACTCTGTCTGCATGGTGTATATTAACATGAAGAGACTGAAAAATGTTTTTATCAACCTGTATGATGGATCTCTGCCATTTTCTTTTCGCAAACATTCTCCAGTTGATCCTTCAGCTCAGAAACCACCTTCCTCATATTCTCAAAAGAGCAGCGTGGACTGACGGTGATTCTGGGTCCAAATCCAGCTTCAGGGGTGACAGGAAGACCCTGGCACCTCTACAGACACACAGTCTGATTAAACAGCTTCATCAAAACAAATGTGTATGGCAATCTAATTAACAGGATCATTAACATCTGACAAATGACAGACTAACTGAAATACAAATGTGAACATGCATCCATTTGAATGCTCTGGTTTTCATATTGCCAAAGTAGCTGTTCTGTTACCTGGAGGAACTGGATGTGATCCTCTGTGTGTGAAAGCTGCTCCAGCTCAGAGTGTCTCCTCTTCAGTTCATCAATCTTCTTCTCTAGTATCTCCATGTCTCCTTCAGCCTGACTCACTGCAGCCTTCTCCTGATCTCTGATCAGCTTTGTCACCTCAGAGCATCTTCTCTCAATAGAGTGGATCATCTCAGTGAAGACCCTCTCACTGTCCTCCACTACTGACTGTGCTGAGCTCTGTTGGTGACACAGGGAGCAGAGGATGGTAAATTACAATTGGCCCCTTTTGAGAGTCCAGAGAGCCTCATTGTACAATAGTGATGTGAGCTGACAGTGTGGAAGTAAAATTGGACATTAGTAGGCCCGGGAGGGGAGGCATATTGGGTCTGGTATGTCTTAGGCCTTAGGCAAGAAGAGATTGTTTTGAATACTGTGTGACCTCGCTTTGTGATAGCTGCCTGCAGTTGGCTCCACAGAAGCTCGGACCTTGGAGAGGCAGACAGTGGAGCAAAGGGGGGGAGAAACCACTTGCAGGAAGAGACTCGAAGCCGCCTCAACTGGTGCACAAAGAGTTATAGCTTATTAAAGTAGCTGTAGTAGTCAATATATAATATGTTACGCAATTGCAAATGTAAAAGTAATAATGTTAATCATACTAATCATATGTTAACCATGTATTTGCAGTGATTCAATGACAATACGTCAATGTGTTAATCATTAATCAATGGAACACCCAAACATTAACAGTGATTCAATGTCATATAATCAATATCTATATACATATCTCAAGTAGAGTCTAGAAGCCGAGAGCTTCAGGTAAATTGAGCAGAATGGGTGACCTTTACCTTGCTACCAAGGTGAACCAATACAGCAGGAGAATTGTGTTTTTTATACATTTGAGCTTGGTTTGTTGGTGTTTTGTGATCAATCAGGACTTAGAAGTCCTTATTGGGAATTGGGAGTTATGGTTTATCAACTGGTTGCTCTATGTGCTGGTGTGAGAATTTCTTTACTCACCAAACTGAGAGGTCCAGACTTTTATTGTAAGTGACTCTCTGTGTTATCAGAGAGGTTGATTTATAATTTCTCTACCACAACAGGAGGTATAAAAACAGCACAGGGCTGGGGTTTGGAGCGTCACGATGCTGGATGCCTCAGGTACTGAAACCCAGGCAGCACTGATTGGAAATGATCACTCATTAAGCTCATACACTGTCAGCTGCAGGGATTTGGCAGAGACTGGTGGCTGTATGGGGCAGGTTGGTTGTCTCCATTAGGTCTCAGTTTAATATGTGACTTTTTCGGTTTATATTTCCATTACACTAGATTGTGCAAAGTTGCATTTTTCTCAAATCGGCCTTTTATGGTGTTTTTCTATATAAATAAGCTATAACTGTTGTAAGGCCAGGTTGGTTGAACCATGTTATCTAGCAACTTTGTCCCATTAAATCTCTGACCCAGAATAACCCACAGTGACAATAATTTGATTAATCCCCACAAGTCTGTAAATCTGCAATCTGTTGAATCTGAAAGATTCAATATGATCACAAGCCAGCTGTTATCTTCTCCTCAGGTTCATACTCACTGTGATTGAGGCCACAGCCTCTCTCAGCTCCTGCAGCTCCTTCTCTCTCATCTGAATTCTCTGCTGAAATTCCCTCTGTGTTTTACCCATTTGTTTCTACAGACAGGAAACAAGATGACAAAACAAGTTTGTTTCATTAGCTGGGATCATATTCATTAATCATCCTGTCCAGGGTGGACCCCAGCCTTGGGCCCTATGCTGCCTGGGAAAGGATCCAGGCGCTCTCTGTGACCCTGACCTGGATTACCGGTTAGGAGATGGATGGATGGATGGATGGATGGATATTTGTAAATATCATAATCTGGACATAGACCCTTTGGTCCTGTTTCCACCTTTTATTAACATGCGTCCTGGGTGATCCAATCACAAGTGGACAGAGCTAATTACAGGTGTGAAGACACCCAGGACACATTGAAGATGCATTGAGATCTGATCACTGAAACCACATTGGGAGGTGGTCTGGGCCGCATATGGCCACATTCTTACAGCAATGTGAAGGCGAATGTGTCCTGGGCTGCATTGCAGGACCGGCTACTCAACTGACGTCCTAAAAATGACATCTAAATATTTTTTATTTTTTTTTAGCATTTAAACATAAATGAACAGGATAAAACAATAAGAGCATTTTTTTCTTAATGGCTTCCAAAACGATAAAGATCTTATCCAAACATTACCCCTGTCCTGCCCCAATCATCCGTTCCTTCTGTGTGCCACGCCCCCTTGTTAACCCCACGTGGAATCCCCGTGTGATCAGCTGTTTCTGGTTGTTGTCATTAGTCCTCTGTATTAAGTCCGCGTTTCAGTTTGTTTCCCCAGTCCAGTCATTGTATTGTCCGTCTGCGTTTTGCCTGCCTTACCTGTAATTAAACCCCGTATTCCCCGATACCTTGACGTCTGCGCCTTTGTCTCCGTTCCATCCCCGCTCGGCACAATATTATTATAATTAAATGTATTAGTGGTTTATTACAGTGCCGTACCACACCCACCATATGACAAACCACCTCAGGGTGCAGCGGTGCAGTGTGTGATACCTCAGCACCACACAAGTCTGAATGGACCAGTGTGAGTTTTTCCAGTGGCTGGAGTGTCAATCCTGCAAAAAAACTGTTGACGTAGTATAAAAATGCATGTGGGTAACATGAAAAATTTATTGTGAAATATCCTCCTGAGACCCCACCCATTCATTTATGTCCATTGTAGTGGACATTTTGTTTTTGCATCTATCATTTCACTGGTGTTAGGAAACATATTTATTCTTGTTGTGCACTAAAGAGGACATGCTGTAAAATTAAAAATAAAAATAAATTTGAAAAAATCTAAATTGTAAGATGTCTTATTTCCTCCAAAGACAAATAACCTAAAATTGAAGGACACTTTTTTCCTTTTGTCTCAGGAGAGTATAGTTTGAATTATTTAAGTAATTACATTTGCATTATGTCAAATAATATATTATAACTTTCTAATGAGAATCGCAACATTATTACAAAATACAATTTAACAATTATACATAGAAGACAAGTGTTATTATGAAATATAATATCTTTTATGGAATTATTTAAAAATAAAGGGACACATCTGTTGTGTTCGCGGGGAAAGACGAGGCCGGAAGGCGACAATCCACAGGCAAACGGGTTTATTGACAAGACACGGGGCAGACGGCGACTAAACATCAATGACAGATCTGGGAAGACTAACTTAGACGCGGACTAAATACACAGCACAAGCAAAGAGAAACAGGAAACAGGTGATGACAACCGGGAATTAACACGCGGTAACGAGGTGGGCGTGGCACACACGAGGATCGGACGAGCTGGGCGTAACAACTTCATTGAAATATTTATTTATGATTTTATTTATCTTTAGATATATTTATTTTATTTGAGTATCATGGCGTTCCATACAAACATCTTAGGCATTTTTGTTACCCTAAAATGTGCTAATAGCTTCTGATTCCTTCTTGTCCTTCTTTTAATGTTCGGTAGATTCTGCATATGGAAGTTATTTACGTGCTTATTTTAATTACTGCGGAAAGTGAGATCCAATTACAAATGGTCAGTCGAGATGCATGTGGAGATGCATGTTAAGGCCACTTAAAATTAATAAATTGTTTGACATGACTCAAATTTCTAAAATATTGGTGAGTAGGGGATTTTATATTTTATATTTTTAGCGAAAAGATGAACGGCAACAGAGATATACTAAAACTAGAAAAGTTCTCAAACAGCTCGCGAAGGGTAACATTACTTGGTATATTGATGCCCTGCCAAGATTTTAATACCATGGGCCCACACACAATCTGACAAACGATAAAAACCATTGTCCGAGAAGCGTCAAATTGAAAAATCCGAGGCTGACATTCAAGAGTTTTCACCCACAGCAGCCATTTTGAGAGAAACACAAGATGATTTCAAATGACCACCGTTAGTTGTTAAACTAACGGTAGATGGCGCGCGTGCGTATTGACGATCTCTGACAGTTTTTGAGGTGAAAAAAACGGATTTTTTGAAAAATATAAAATATAAAAAAAATCGAGGCGGGCGGCCATGTAAAACAATTTATTAATTTTAAGTGGCCTAATACCAGGTGTGAACAGAGCCTTTGACTCACCACTGTTGTACTGAGCTCATAGTTTTGCATTTGTGGGTTTCCTGTCAGCTTAAACAGGGCTGGTCATTCTCATTGGACCCCTCTAATGTTGGAGTCGAACTCCGCCGGGTCCGTTGATGAGAAGAGATTCACTGCATAGTCGAGGAGTAGTTGCAAGTCACCAGTTTATTGTCTATTCTGATTGCAATCAGGGAGCAACTATATGACATACATTCAGCATTATCCTAATATCGATAGTATCGATACCAACGTTGGTATTGATATCGGGTGGTGTTGGAGTCAAACTCTGCCGGGTCCGTTGATGAGAAGAGACTCACAGCACACCAGAGGAGTTGTTGCAAGTTACCAGTTTATTATCTTATTCTGATTGCAATCAGGGAGCACCCATCTCACACACATACAGCATGTACAGCAAGAGGGCTAAGCTCGAGCCACAGGTATCGAGTCTGCCCCTTTATAGGCTTTCTGGGGTGACAACCCCCCTTCTTCTCTTCGGTACTTTCCCCTGCTCGTGACAACAACACATTCCAACCTTTGTTCAACCCGTCTGGTACATATCTTAATATAATTGTTCTGACATTATAGTCTGATTGGCCAGCAAGTTCTGGATAGGTAATATATCTTAATATAATGTTCTGACGTTATGGTCTGATCTGCCCGCAAGCCCTTTAGCCAGTAGGCTCATGTCCCCGTCTCTTGTCTGGCACCTGATTAATATAAACATTGGTTAAATGCTAAGTTCCTGTTTTTATGCACATTCTGTTCCTACTGGTCTGCACCTGCATCGGTAAGTTCTTTTCCATAGTGCAGGGCCAGTATCAATTCCCCTTTTCTGTTATGATTAATGATAGAGAAGCTTCGGTTAGATATTAGTGGCTGCGTGGCTGCACATATGTCTTTTATTAGATATTAGTAACTATGCAAGCGCACTCAATCATTAACCCCTCAGTGGATAGTAGCCTTCCGAGATCGATACTTTTATTTAAATTTTATCTCATTTACGCCAAAGTACATTGCTCCTGTTTAATAAAAGAGCGAACATGTCTCTCTCCTCCCTGCTCTGCTGTTATTAGTTGTCCTTTCATCACGTGACTCAGCAGCGCCAAAGCGCAAGCACTTTTTGCTGTTCTGAGATGACGGAAAGAAAGAGGAGCGCTGTTTGGAGTTATTTTACTGCAGTAAACGAAAATATTGCAAACTGCGATGTTTGTAGAAAGTCTATTCGATACTGTGGCAACACCACAAATCTACACAAACACATAAAACAACACGAAAAAGAGAACGCCGAGCTGCAAAAAAGGAGAGAAGAGGAGGCAAATCCTCCAGACAGACCCCCAGCAGTGCCAACCGTGAGACAGAGGTCACTGGCCGAGTCGTTTCGGAGAGGCAATGAATATCCAGTTAGCTAGCTACAGTGGTGAAATTAATATTTGAGTTATATAGGACATTCAGTATTAGTTAATGCCAATTAGAAGGAAAAAAAAAACGAATACTTGGTCATAGTTGAACTTGTTACTTTCATCATCAGGCTGATTAAATATAGCCTATATACCTAACACCATTAAAACCTGCTATTCATATGAATTATTTTGGATATTTAAAAATATACAGTGGTGGCCAAAATGATTAGAACAGTAGTTTTTTCACCAACTAAAAAAATGGTTTTAAGTCAGTTATCTTTTGCTGTAGTGTGTTAGTAGGAAATAATAATAAAAAAACACTTAAAAACATTTTTTAGCTGGTGAGAATACAGGTGTTCTAATAATTCTGGCCACCACTGTATACCATGAACTTCAAATATGAAAATGTCTGAATATCCCTTTTGTGTTAACTGTGAAAGGGACACTATAGGATTTATATTTTGGCTACATAGGTAAGATAGGCTTTTGGCTATACTTAATTATTTTTCTATTTTATCTAGGTGATTCCCCAAGAGCTATTGAAATTACAAAGAGCCTTGCTGAAATGATTGCAAAAGACCTGTTCTCTAGTAATAAGTTTGTGTTTGCAAATCCAGATCATTACAATAATAAAAATGTTTTTATTTGGCTTAAAAGTGTTTAAAATTTGTCCTGGGTTTTAACATATACATTTAATTATAGCTGCTTTGAGAGCATTCAACTCATAAATCATGACACACTGTTCTTCCCTATAGAAAAGTACATTTAGGTTCAAGTGCATGCTTTTTAAAGTAAAAGTAACAGTATCGGTATCAATATCGGCGATAATGGCCCTGTATTTACTTGGTATCGGATCGATACCAAATTTTGCAGTATCGCCCAGCCCTATTCAGCATGTACAGGAAGAAGCTCGAACCATATGTATCGGCTCTGTCTCTTTTTAGGCCTTCTGGGGTGTCACCCCCCCTCTTCTCGGTACTTTCCCATGTACGTGACTACAACATGTTTTGACCTTTGCTCTACTCAGCTAGTATATGCATAAATGTTTTGACGTTTGCTCTAGTTTGCCAGCAAGTCCATTAGCCAGCGGGTGCATGTCCCCGCTTTTGTTTAGCACTAAGTTAAAATAAGTGTCGGTTAGATGATGGGCTCCTGTTTGTGCACACTATCAGTTCTTGATTCTCTCCAGCTGCGTGGGTGAGATCTTTCCATCATGCAGGCCTAGTATCAGTTCCTCTTTCTGCTATCTACAATATTTTAGACGCTATTTTATTAGAAATTAGTAGCTGCATAATTGTACAATTAACCCCTCACTAATTAGCAAGGTGTTTCAATAATAACAATAATTGATACCTTCACTGATCCCTGTGGGGAAATTCTCTTAACACCCCCCCCTTGCTCTCTGTAGGTGAGAGTAAGCTGGCTGCAAAGGGCAGCCACCCATAGCAGCACCCAGGGAGCTGGGGGTTAAGGGCCTTGCTCAGGGACCCCCAGATGTACCAAGACCAGGCTTGAACTGGCAATCTTCTGATCAAAGGCAGAGAGGCTTAGCCCACTCAGCCACAGGCTGCCCCAGAACTATCAGACTCTGGCTGTTTCATGTTTACTGCACCATTCTCAGCAAACTCTACACACTGGAGTGTGTGAAATTAAAATCCCAGGACGGTGGCTGTTTCTGAGATGATGGAGCCGCTACTCTTATGCTGAGCTCCATTTACCTCGGAGGTCGGAACTCTGAGCTGGGAATGACGTCACAGACGAGTTAAACATGTTCCAGTGCAGCAAATCGGAAAGCCATTTAGCAAAACCAGTGACTGGTTTAAAAAAGCAAAATTTCTTGCTTAGCCGGATAACTTGTTGTATTTAATGTGTCCCAGTTTAAATGGCCTTTTTCTTCATTCACTTATATTTAGCCCAGAGTACATTAAATACATCTGGCTGAGCAAGACATCCTGCTTTCTGAAACGGGCCCCAGTTTTAGCCCAGTTAATTGTTAGCCACTGTATGTGTGATCACACCATATTTAAACCCTCTTAGCTCACACATCTCAGCCATTCCGATGCTCAGCCAAACAGTAAGTGAACATCTTCATCCTGTTTGCTTGCTGTATATATTCAGCTGCAGTCACACGATTAGATGTTTGAAGGAGTTTCAGTACAAATTCAATCAGAACTTTTTAAACTTGCACTTTCAGTTAATTTTTCTTTCATTTTACCAAACCAGACTTGTTCTGAGTGTTTTGTAGCAATTACACTAACATCTCAAGACAAAATCCATTTATTTAAAATTAACTTTAGCCCTTCCTGCAACAGCTGAGACTGTAACATAACACAAAGCAGACAGATACACTGCTGGTCGGTACGGCAGTAGACCACCAGGGGTTTGTCATGGTGGGAACAGACCTTGTCCTGCAGATGTCCAGTGGCATCAGTCAGCTTGTGCTTCTTAAAAGCTGGAGACTCATAGTGAGGCTGGAGGTGAGTTTCACAGTAAGAGGCCAGACACACCAGGCAGAACTTGACAGCTTTGTGTTTTCTCCCAGTACAGGAATCACACTCCACATCTCCAGGTCCAGTATAATGGTAAGCAGGAGTAGCTGCTTGTAGTCCAGTCTTCTTCAGGTTCTCCACCACTTCAACCAGGATGGTGTTTCTGCCCAGAACAGGTCTGGGTACGAAGGTCTGTCTGCACTGGGGGCAGCTGTAAACTCCAGCATGATCCCAGTAACTCTTAATGCACCTCATACAGTAACTGTGTCCACAGTTGATAGTCACTGGATCCTTCAGTAGATCCAGACATATTGGACAGCTGAACTGGTTCTGATCCAGTGTGGAACTGGCTTCTGCCATTTTACCACGAGCACTGATAGGATTCAGTTTCAGTGTTAGGTTTCACAGTCGTCTGTGTGTGAGAGTGGGAGGAACTTCCTGCTTCTCAGGCTGCAGTAGGTGTGGTTTTGGACTGAGGCCAGACTGAGAAGAGCAGACTGAGCAAACACTGGAGTTTGAATGTGTGTGTAAAATAATACATTAGATAAACTATACAGACACACAGTTCTGACTAGATAATCTGCCTGAAGGTAAGCAGGTTAGGGTCTGGTCAGTACTTGGATAGGAGACTGTGGAATTCAATAGAATTATAAAGAACATACAATGAATAGAGGAAAAGGAGAATATAGCTTAAAGCAGGGCATGATAAAAGGAGAGGGTTAATCTGCTGACAACTGTGCGTACAGGAGAGAAATGCGAAAGAGAACTGAATTGTGTAAATAGCTTGCATGGCAAATTGAGGGGTTAATTCTAAAACAAATGTGGCTGATGTGGGAATGATTCTATAAGGCTGTAACTAATAGAAATGTGAAAACTGACTGGCGCCGGCAGGGCAGGATGATGAGGGGTTAATCATACAATAATGCAATTACTAATTCTATAATAATATAGCATCTAACATAATGTAGACAATAGACATGGGAACCGATACTAGGCCGGCAGGATGGGGTGATCTCACCCCATGCAGTTGGGAAAAATCAGGAACTGACAGCATTGTGTTTTCAATGTTGGAGAATATAATTAAAGGTTTGCATCGAGAAACGACGGTGGTTTTTATATATTTTATACTGGTAAATCTCTGCTGTTAGTTGGTGCACATATGCCTTTTGTTAGCCAACATGTATGTCGGGGCCGGCTCTACGCTGGGGCAAGAGGGGGAAACGCCCCCTTAAGCAAACGTCCTGTCCCCTTAAATCAAACTTTTAGAAGTTGAGGAAGAAAATAATAATTACCCACAAACTGAATATGGATAGGATTTACTACAGTAGCTGAAAAATCCACTGAAAAAGGCACAAACGAGATGATAAGTTTCACTTCTTGTTCGCTCTTTGCCTCCGCGTTCTGTTTGTGCGCGGGCTCACACGGCACTCGGCA